ACACACACACACACACACACACACACACACACACACACACACACACACACACACACACACACACACACACACACACACACACACACACACACACACACACACATCAAAACCCATTTCATTCCAGTTCTATGTGCTGTCCATCTTTACTGAGGTTTTTACTGTACATTTACTGTACATTTCCCATTGCTAGCATCTAGTAAAGCAGTACTGTGTCTTGAAAGTCAAGAAGCAGCATTCCACTCTCCTACCCACTTGAGCTTTCCAGCTGGCCATGGACAAAGTCGGTGAGGGCCTCCTGACCTCATGCAACACATGGGGAGCTGTTGAGAGGGACATGGAGCCACAGAGGCACAAGCTGTGACTCAGTGCTCAAAGTGCTGGTAAGTCAAAAAACATCCTATTGCTAAATTAGAGGATATATTTATTATAAGCTAATAAGTCCAAATATATTCATGTATTTATTTCATTTATCCACAAAATTAAATAGGTACATGTTAAAATGAAATGGCCACCATTACAGCCTGCCACTCCATAACGAGATTCCAAAATTGCAAACAGCTGAATTGGTCCATATCAACAATCGAGGAGGAGGTCTTTTGTTACATTAACAGCTTTTAATTGCTTATTCTCAATATTCCAAACCACCCACAAAGACTGCATTACAACAAGTAGAGTGGGTAACAGTAGTTCACTCCTAGCTATCTTTGAGATTCCTGGTAAGGTCAGAGGGAACAGAGAAAGCTGAGGGAGGCATGGCTGATAACCCTGGTTTCACTACACTGCAGGTTCCACTTGAAACAGGTCTTCTGACAAACAAGAACTTTAATGAAGCATTTGTGGGAATGTTTACACCTGTGTCATGCTGGCTTACCTGCTGTGGATATGATAAAATAAATATGAACATTGAACTTTCTCAATAGTTTGCGGATTAAGCTCTCCCCTCCCCCATTTAAAATTATTACAGTATTTGAAACCGCTTTTAGAAATGGAAACACAAAGACATACTGCTGGGTCTTAACAGAGCTATCAAACAGGATTATAAAGATAGCAACTAATGGAAGTTTTAAAAGCTTCCACCACTGCTAATGCTTCAGACAGACACCGCTGTTGAGTCTATCATTTGTTTTAGGAGTTTTCTGATAAAACTATTCTGTGTTTGATAAATTGGCTGCAAGGTGAACATCCTCATGGAGATAAGACTGTTTGGAACTGAGGGAAGAACCCTAATTGCTGGACAGTTGTTTCATTAATGGGTCTGACATCCTTTTCCTCCAGCAGGGTAATTTCAAAAGGAGACAGATAATGTTCCTGCTAATCAAGATATCACAACAGGAAATCTCCCCTTATTTCTCAGTGTCTCATGGATAAGCTATAACAGTCATACATATGCATGTTATTCAGTTTCTACACAATTGTGTTTACAAAGGAGAGAAAAATGGTACCTCATTGAACATATATTCATTTTAATTACAGGACCCCACTGAGACAGAAATTCTGAATTTCCTAGTTACAGATCCATACATGGAGAAAAGAGTAATTATCCATTAACTTTGCCCACACCACACAACTCTAAATTTTGCAAACTATTACAGATACACAGGGATGGCTAGTGAACCAGAACAGAAGACCTCTTGCCCCTGATTTTAACACTGCTCCCTTGCTCAAGTAATATGTGATCTATGTAGACACAGAATACTGTATTTGTTTTCGAACTGGTACTAACACAGGAGGCCTAAAATGGTCCAACAGCAGTGATCAAATTAAGCTGTAACTGTCAAAAATATGTTCTCAATATTCTTAAGACTTTTAAAAGAGGTATCTCACAGGTGTCTCGATTCTGTCTCACAGAATCTTATCAGTTCTGCTGGAAATGTTGGATTATGCTCAGAATTGTGATGAAATTGTAAAAAGAAAAAGGTAATGAATCACTGTATATATTGATAAAGTAAAGGTAAAGGTTCCCCTTGACAATTTTTGTCCAGTCGTGTTCGACTCTGGGGGGCGGTGCTCACCCCCGTTTCCAAGCCATAGAGCCAGCATTTTGTCCGAAGACAATCTTCCGTGGTCACATGGCCAGTGCGACTTAGACACAGAATGCTGTTACCTTCCCACCGAGGCGGTCCCTATTTATCTACTTGCATTTGCATGCTTTCAAACCGCTAGGTTGGCGGGAGCTGGGACAAGCGACGGGCGCTCACTCCATCGCATGGATTCGATCTTACGACTGCTTGTCTTTTGACCCTGCAGCACAGGCTTCTGTGGTTTAGCCCGCAGAGCCACCATGTCCCTTGTATATATTGATAGCAACAATTAAATAGGTGTGTGTGTCTTTATTTGTATCAGACCATTGCACAATTCAACATTAGGGATGCATACAAAATTTAGGCAAAATCAAAAATTGAATTAAAATGTCAGACAATCAGAAGTGATCAGAGCTTGAGGTGTGTGCAGAAACCTTTCCTTGACTTCAGCCGTTGTGTGGGTGGGTGGGAGGTTGGCATCCATGAAGCAGACGGGTTCGGTGCTGTTCCAGTGCAATGCTTCTGGAAGTGAAGTATTTGCCAGCTGCACACCATTGTCCAATGGATGCTGAGTTTGTTCATAATGCTTTTCCACTCTTCCATGCCCCCGAAATGGTGGGTAACTACAAATAAGCAGTTTCCCCCAAGCTTCAGATGGTGGCATTTTAAAAAGGTACCACGTGATAGCAATGCAACCCTAGTCAGGAACAGAGTGGTGTACTTCTTCTGTATGAAGTAGATTTTGATCCACAAAAGCTCCCACTGAAATAAATCTATTAGTCTTTTAAGTGCCACAATATTTTGCTTTCTTTCCCCCCCCTGTTCTGTTTCAACTTACCAAAATGCTAATCAATAGCAATGTATTCTGTCACATTCAACCTATGAAAGAATGGGCAGAAAGTACTCTTATGATTTTAAATGTTTTATTTGTAACGTTATTACATGGTGTGTTACAGAAATTAATGGAAAATTTCTAAAAATTTGTTGTTGCTGTTGTTTTCTGTTGAATGCATTATAAGGGAAGAAAAAAAGATGCTCAACATATATTAACAAATGGTTTTCCTCTGAGGTAAAGTTAAAGTGGAGCTAGAAATGTACTGCAAAACAGTCATTTTAATCTTTATCTTTTTTATTAAAAAAATATGTGTCGGAATGCAGAAATCAAAACAAACTGAAGTAGAGAGTAAACATCTTTGCAAAGAAGGTGCCCAGTACATTATTTGATCATAGGTTTCATTGGACAATTGAATGACTACGATCTATCAAAATAGTTTTATGACATGATAGGAATTGAGAGACTACTGGAGACAGTACAGGATGGTGGGTGGGTGGGATTCCCTGGTTTAAAATTTAAAGTGACAAATTTAGTGCTAGCGAAGAATGGGGAGGGAAAGGCTTCCCAGCTTCCCTGGACCTATTACTTATCTACAAAACTGGTACAGTGCAGGATACCATAGTCTCTTACTTCTAGGCAATGGGGGGGGAAGGGATCATCTAAAGGGTAGGGTTAGGGTAGCTACGGAGTCTCATTGCAGAAAGCAGTCAGTGTTTAACCCAAGCAAATGTCCTTGCGAATTCTGATTTTGAAATCCCAAATTTTTGTTCTTTATAATTCTTGATCGTACTGTTTAGACAGACTTTTCCACATCCTGGGTAAGTCCTACAGAGCCTTATAACTATGGGTTTCTTTAATGAACCCATTCAACTGTGATTTCAATGCCTTGTTCCGAAACCAAAAAGCTAGTGACCACACTATACTAGAAAAGTTTATGAATTAACAATCAGGATAAAAATGGTAAAGAGGTAAGAACACAGGCTTTCTTATTCTTCGAATGTTTTTTATTTTTTAAATGAGAATGCCCTGTGGAATGTTCCTGGTCAGTCTAAAAACCTACCATCTAAATCATTTTAAATCATATGGGGAAGATTAGGTTTGGATCTTTCTTTTGATGTGAGGTTGCCACAGAGACCTTGACAATTACCAGAAAGAACTTGTGATGGAAACAGTGCATTACGTCTCGCTGCTGCACTTGTAATAGTTCCCATCCTCACTGAGGGCATCCTTCCCATGAATAAAACATATTTTTGTACCTGCTTCAAAATTGACAGGCTAGAATTATGAAGTTTGCTTGTTTACACCATCGGATCACCATCTCATGTTAGCTATTTTGTAAAAAGCTTTATCTAAACCATTCAAATATATGGAAATATACAATTCCAGACCTACACAAATCATTGGAAAATACACAGGAAACTTTGTGTTTTAATTTAAAAACAAAAAACTGCATAATCTTTAAAACAACTGGTCATTTGAGTTCATTAACTATTTTTAGTGCTAAACCGCTATAATTCAATATATTGTAATCTGCATAGGAACATCAGGAAAACACCTTTGAGCTGTATAACAATTCTCTGTAGGGCAAAAATATATAGATTTTTATGCAAATCATGTGCTAAGCATAGGAACCAAACACTGCATTTTTCTTACATAAAGGTTAAAAAAAACAGAGTTTTAAAAAAGTTGTTTCCTTTTTTGTGTGTAAACAGTTTGTTTTTGTTCTGAATTATGAAATTATTATGAAATATGATTTGTTTCCCCTTAGAAATGTAGAGCATATAGCCATATTCATGGGTAAAAGCAAGGTCATAATACCAATGTGTTCCTCACCAACTTTACTAGCTGCTGATAACCTTTTTGCTACTGGCAAATGCATTTAACCTTCAGCCCATTAGGGGGGGAAACGTGATGCAAGAAACACAAAATGGGGATTTCTGCATTTCCAGAGTACTGCTACCTTCTCTACAGTGTCATGGCATTATGAAAAGAATTCTCGTAACATTTATATTTACAAAAAACAAAAAAAAACAAAACAAAAAAAAACCTGGCAAATTCCATTCAAACTCCTTAAAGCCATTTCCCCTTAAACATTTAAAGAGTTTAACAGTAAGATTTTTTTAAATTTCAAGTTATAAAATAAAAATCCCATTTGAATTTTTCTGATGTACAAAAAGTGGTAAAGATGAACAATTTGATCACAGAATAAGTTCATTATTTCAAAATTCATGCCATTCTCCATCCTGTTCATAAAGTTCGTTCCAATCAAATCCAGAAGGATACTGAAGTATTTGGCAAACATTTTTTCTCTCTTCAAAAATGGCACACAAAGAAGAAACACACTTGTCTGCATAGCATTACAGCAGCAAGATATCAAAGAAATAAAAAATATTCCTTTACTGGTCTTTGTTTCAAGAGTTCCCTAGGAAATGACACATTGTTTGTCTTTTTCCCCCATCAAAAGATCTGATGTCCTTTTATCCCCACAGCGGGAGTATTCAAAAAAGAAAAGCAGCATTTCATCTCTTTGATGTACTGGAAATTAAAAGGTCCATTTGGCAACATTTTCCAATCAAGATGGATAATCAGCAGAATGCCATTCCATGGTTTCAAGTTAAGAATTATTGTCACAGGAGGCATTTTGCTGCTAGAGTCTGTCATCAATTTTTAAGGAAAAGAAAAAAGAAAAGAAAAAAGAAACACTTTCCCCCTTTCATATATGCTATAATGGAGTGGTTTAAAGGGGGGGAAAATACAACAAGATTAGTCTGTGATGGTGTTTTTAAAGTCACCATATAATCAAAATGTGCATCCACATAACTCTACAGCTGTTGACATAATGGGGTGTTTGCCTTCTCAGTGTTCTCTAGGTCACTGAAGAAATAGTTATGATCTAGGAGATTTGAATTGCCTACTTTCATTATGCAGTGCTTTAGTAATGGCAAGGCTGACGAGGAGGAAAAAAATATGCTCTGATTGTTGAAACTTGTAAGAGGTCAATGGTTTTGCTTGGACAGAAAGTTTTTTTCTTTGTTTTTTTAAAAAAGTAATGTTCTGCCATAGAAAATTGCCACTGGTTGCCAAAAAGTCTTGCTTGCTGAACTAGTCCAGTGAAGTAATTATTTTTGATCAGATGGAATTAAAAAAAAAGAAAACATGGGAGCCAAAGGCCTGTCAAGGCTGTAGTTTTCCTTTTAAGTCCTGAAGCACCACAAGCGTGTGGGTCAACGCTATTTCTTAGGTCTGTTGATCTGGGCATAGAGCGGTTCTCTCTCCTGGGGACAATGGAAAGAAAAATGAATAGAAATATTCATTTGTACATGAACAGCTGATCCAATGAAAGAAGCCAAATTAGGATAAAAATGCTAAAGAACTAGCATTTTTATTTTTATTTATATTTGTGGACAACACTGTAATTCAAAATAGCGATTTTCAGTCTCACACCACAGGTATTTGTTACAAACAGAGTTGCTAATCAAGCTGAACTAACTGGAATGGAATGAAAGAGAATTCATAAAACTCTTACAGTAGGAGAGAAATCAGAGGAACTTAACATTGCAATTAAGGATTTTAAACTTGTGGAACAGAACAACTCATCTGCCTATTAAAAATACTCTAAATTGACAGCATCCCCCCCTAAAATTAAGACAAATATACATTTGCACATCTTTCTGCTGACATCATCTTGCTCTTACATTCCAAATTAATTAGGCTTACATCAAAGAAATAATTCATTAGAAGGATGTCCAAACATGTAGGAACAAACGAAGATGATGGTGACCCATCATTAAGACCAATTCACCGCATATCACTGATATATTCCATAACACAGGATCAAAATCACAGGAAACATTAATTTGGTTATGACAAACTTCCCTTCAGAATAATCAGGGAACAAAACACACTACAAATGACTATATAAACAATGTGAAAAAATTGTTCTCAAGAGAATGAAGGCACAAATTTTGAGTTAATGTGTATTTCTATAAATTGTCATAGCATGTTGAAATAAAGATTTGCCACACAATGACCTCTTGATGTCAATGAACTCTTAGGTGTCCTGAGTTGCAATGTTTGGACTCTGTTTACAGGGGTCTACTAATATACATGGCTACAACTTTTTGACATTTTGGCTGTTCTTAATATGATTTCATAATACTGCTGGCTTCATGAAAAGATCTCTGTACATCCCATGCATACACACAGATCATTTGCTTCTTTTCTTTTTTTACTGCTTGAGAATATTTTCTGATGTATATTGTACAACATATCCAAAGACTTTTTGTGGTGCACAGAACTGTATTGTGAAGTCTTACTTCACAGGCATTAATCCTGAAACCTGATGCAGGGATATATACATTTTAACTCATTATTAAAATTTATATACCCCTTTTAGGAGGAGGATAAGCAAAGCCCATCACATTTTATTTCTATCAGTCTATGACAAGCAGAGACACATGGAATCTCAGCATTTTACATCTGGGCCCATTGCACAATGCAGTAAACATTAAGTGCATCAAAGTGCTTCTTCCAGACTTTCCGTCCCAATTCTCTCTCTCAAGTATTTTCTCCTTACAGACTGTCCTTCACCATGGACCACAGGCAATTTCAGTTTTACATGATCTGCAATGTGAAAGAAAGAGGACTTGGGCTCAAGGATTCTTTAATCCTGTTGGAATCTCCCACTCTGCTTGGGCAGGGGCAATCTCTATTTTGGCTCTGGAACAAAACTCTGGAGATTCCAGAAAGAATCAAAGAAACTCTTCTCCATGCAATCATTTCAGAGATTTATCTTTAGCAGTGATTGGGAAATGCCCCAAACTTTGGATCTGAGATGAATAAAGTAAATACATTTAAAATTATCTAGTAGGAACAATGCCTGAGAAGGAAGAAATATGAATAGGAATCTGACCAAAGAGAAGCCCTTCTTGTATTTCAATGCATGAACAGCAAGATGAAGTTCTCCACCACGCCAGTCCTCATATTTTGCTTGATGCAAGACCAGGCAATGAAAGATTTCAGTTTGACAAAAAGCAAACATTTTGGACCAATCTGTTCAGTAATTTTACAAAATAGGACATGCAAAAACATTTCTCCTAATGACCCTGGTCAAATAGTCCAAAGGATTAACTACATCTTTTACATGCAAAAAAGGATGCTTCTAATAGCTTTTACAGGAAATGAATCTCCTAACAAATTCTTTCTTCTTCAGATCATATTTCCAGGTATGTTTTTTTTTACTATAAGCTTTTTACTAAGGCATCAGCCTGAAAATGATGATAAATACTCTTTATCCAGCTTAGCTTTCAAAACTAATAAGGATATTTGCTCCCATTATTATTCTGAGGAAATGCAACCATTTTGGACCTTCTCTCCAACTTAAATGTATCTTGCATCCATTATTCTTGTCCCTCTATTATCTATTAACTGGAAGGAGGTACGTATTATTTGGCAAAGAGAAATGGAAAAGACATGTGATGGGCAGAATTTTCCCTGATGATATATAGAAGGCTGCATAAAAGATGCATTATGAACTTACAGTAAAGCTGCAATACTCCCAGGGCTTTTTTGACCTCTCTGCTCTTACACAGATTTTCAGCAGAGCATTCTCCTTCTGGATGGCTGAGCAGAAAGTAGAATCTCAGCTGATGCATTTCAGAAAATAAGTCTTCTGCTTTTTGATCATCCAGCCAGAAGGAAAGTTCTGCGTTGATACTCTGCTGCAGAGAAAGAAGGTCAAGGATACCCATGAGACTTACACCTCCATCTAGCTAGTATTGTATCTTTTACACTGCATGGGTCTGTAAAGAGCTTGATTCAATAGAGTAGCAGCTCAGAGCACTAGTCCTGATGTTAAAAGGGGTTTTGCCTCATATACTCATTATTTAGCAGAAACCATCTATAGAGGTACTTTATGTACTTACATAGATAGTTCTCACGCTTCAAAACTCCTTCATATCAAGTAATGTTGAGTAACAAATTCCTAATTGTCACTTGCTTGAACATTCCTTCTTTACAATAAATTCTGGAAAAAGCTAGTTAAGCTAGTAAAAGTGGAAGGCAGTAGAAAAAGAGGAAAATCTAATGCAAGATAGATTGACTCAACAAAGGAAGTGGTAGCCTTGAGTTTGCAAGAACTGAGCATGCCTGTTAAAGGCAGGATCTTTTGGAGGTCACTAACTTATAAGGTGCCACAAATCTGAAGTGGCTTGATGGCACATAACGACAATAATCTGAGTCACATTTATATCACATAATGCAGGATATAGCTTTTTATAAACAACTCAAGTAGCAGCTTGAGTGGCGATGGGTATCTCATCTCAAAATTTCAAGGAGACACCACCTGGCTTGGTCCATGAGCCATCAAGAAGCAAATCTATACTACTGGATTTAGCAGTGTTTTCATTTGCATATTTAAATGCTATATATTATTTCAGGAGAGCTACCATGGATAGAGTAATGGACTAAGACTCAGGAGATCTGGTTTCAAATTCCCACCTAGCTATGGAAAACCTGGAGTGTGTCTACCAATTGTGAAACTAATTTTTTCTTCTGGATATCTCATGGTTTGGGTCTCTGGCTGTGGAATCAGAAGTGAGAGTTTGGTTCCCCACTGTACCTCCTGCAAGTAGAAGAAGCCTGCGTGGCCTTGGACAAGCTAAAGTCCCAGAACAACCCCGGAAGAAGAGAATGGTAAACAACTTCTGAGTACTCTCCACTTGGAAACCCCTGAAAATAGGTCATAATTGACTTGATGGCACATCATTAATAGTTTCCCTTAGTCTAAAAGTTTTGTCCTGCAGGTGGCAGCCTTTAAGCAAGAGCTCATGTGAAAGTGTCAAAGGTCCCACAGTGCTTCCAGCTGCTATCTCCTGTGGAATCAACCCCCCTTTATATAAATGATTCTAATGGGCACTATCGAAAATCTATTTGGAGAGCTCTCTTGGTAAAAAATCTTATTGCAAATTTATAGATAAGGAAATAAAACATGGCTATATTTCAAGCCAATGCTACTCTTCCTCAGCTACTACTAGAAACATGTTGTCCAAGCTTCAGAAGAAATAAACAAAACTATTGTCAAGAAATGTAAACCTTGTTGCTCGCTCCATTTGTTTTGTGTTCCTCAAATCTACATTCTCTCATCTAGACAAAACTGAAAAGTCTACAATGCTGTATTAAAATAACTTCACACAGTTCTGTGGTTTTATTGCATGCTTTAATACAGCTCTCCTGGGTTTTAGTTTAAAAACCAAAGTAAGGCAAAGATTTCACTTATCAGTAGATTGCAGATTTGACTACTAAGAGAGTGGCTGTCATTTCTTTAAAGGTTAGTTGTGAGATCCAAGCATGAAAGCTTCAATTTGAGATTGCAGGTAGAGGAGAAAAGTAACACATCTCTGGATATAGCAACTGATAAGGCGCCCAGTTATTCAAATACAAAGACTTTAAGATACTGTTGAAAAGAAGTGCTTAACAACAGAGGAAGTAAAATGACATTAAGGAATATCAGGTGGGAGTGCAGATATATAGGGACAGCATAAACCACATCATTCTAAGCACAGACAGAAAAGATAACGAAAGGAATAGATTGACTTTCAAATCCATCACTGAGTACCACAGAATACAGTGCTCATGCTCAGTCTATTGTATTCCTTTCACAATTCTAAAAGCCTCTATAAGTATGAAAACTAACCTGTCTCTCTTTCATAACTGAAATAAGGTAATTATAATCAATAAAGTATAACCATAGATATTAGGCTTGAAGTCAAAATCTGAACCATTGCTTTGCTCATTCTTTGTGAGGAAGGAATAGAGATTTATCCCCTCAAATTAATGCTGAAGTATTGAGGAGTAAGAAGAGACATATTCCAATTATTTGTTGTCTGAACATAGCTGTTCTTCAGTTAGAGTGTTTGTGAGGCATACACAGAACAATAAAATTAAATGGAGGGGGGGACAGCTGCTAATTCTTAAGTTTCATGTTATTGTAAAGCTTATATGATAAAATGAAAGCCAGGATTAGAGTTCCTTCTGTGAGTGGCTCCAGAGGTTCTTCCTGGAGTAAAGGCTGAGAAGGGTTGTTGTTGTTGTTGTTGTTGTTGTTGTTGTTGTTTGGCCTATCCCTCTCTCCCCAGTAGAGCCCCCATGACATACTATTCTGGAGGATCCCCAATGCTATAGAGCAGCTGTTTTATGGAGCTCATGAGATTACTGGGGTTAAGGAAAGGAGAATGTTACAGAATTACTTCCGACAACCTTCAGTGGAAGCAACCTGACTTAGTTTCAGTCCTGGACGTGAAAAGATCAGAAGTTTGAAAAGTAACGTTTTGAAGTATAATCATCAAACCCCCTCAATTTTAATTACTTCTTGAAGGTACTACCTAAATGGCTGTGGAATCAGAAGTGAGAGTTTGGTTCCCCACTGTACCTCCTGCAAGTAGAAGAAGCCTGCGTGGCCTTGGGCAAGCTAAAGTCCCAGAACAACCCCGGAAGAAGAGAATGGTAAACAACTTCTGAGTACTCTCCACTTGGAAACCCCTGAAAATAGGTCATAATTGACTTGATGGCACATCATTAATAGTTTCCCTTAGTCTAAAAGTTTTGTCCTGCAGGTGGCAGCCTTTAAGCAAGAGCTCATGTGAAAGTGTCAAAGGTCCCACAGTGCTTCCAGCTGCTATCTCCTGTGGAATCAACCCCCCTTTATATAAATGATTCTAATGGGCACTATCGAAAATCTATTTGGAGAGCTCTCTTGGTAAAAAATCTTATTGCAAATTTATAGATAAGGAAATAAAACATGGCTATATTTCAAGCCAATGCTACTCTTCCTCAGCTACTACTAGAAACATGTTGTCCAAGCTTCAGAAGAAATAAACAAAACTATTGTCAAGAAATGTAAACCTTGTTGCTCGCTCCATTTGTTTTGTGTTCCTCAAATCTACATTCTCTCATCTAGACAAAACTGAAAAGTCTACAATGCTGTATTAAAATAACTTCACACAGTTCTGTGGTTTTATTGCATGCTTTAATACAGCTCTCCTGGGTTTTAGTTTAAAAACCAAAGTAAGGCAAAGATTTCACTTATCAGTAGATTGCAGATTTGACTACTAAGAGAGTGGCTGTCATTTCTTTAAAGGTTAGTTGTGAGATCCAAGCATGAAAGCTTCAATTTGAGATTGCAGGTAGAGGAGAAAAGTAACACATCTCTGGATATAGCAACTGATAAGGCGCCCAGTTATTCAAATACAAAGACTTTAAGATACTGTTGAAAAGAAGTGCTTAACAACAGAGGAAGTAAAATGACATTAAGGAATATCAGGTGGGAGTGCAGATATATAGGGACAGCATAAACCACATCATTCTAAGCACAGACAGAAAAGATAACGAAAGGAATAGATTGACTTTCAAATCCATCACTGAGTACCACAGAATACAGTGCTCATGCTCAGTCTATTGTATTCCTTTCACAATTCTAAAAGCCTCTATAAGTATGAAAACTAACCTGTCTCTCTTTCATAACTGAAATAAGGTAATTATAATCAATAAAGTATAACCATAGATATTAGGCTTGAAGTCAAAATCTGAACCATTGCTTTGCTCATTCTTTGTGAGGAAGGAATAGAGATTTATCCCCTCAAATTAATGCTGAAGTATTGAGGAGTAAGAAGAGACATATTCCAATTATTTGTTGTCTGAACATAGCTGTTCTTCAGTTAGAGTGTTTGTGAGGCAAACACAGAACAATAAAATTAAATGGAGGGGGGGACAGCTGCTAATTCTTAAGTTTCATGTTATTGTAAAGCTTATATGATAAAATGAAAGCCAGGATTAGAGTTCCTTCTGTGAGTGGCTCCAGAGGTTCTTCCTGGAGTAAAGGCTGAGAAGGGTTGTTGTTGTTGTTGTTGTTGTTGTTGTTGTTGTTTGGCCTATCCCTCTCTCCCCAGTAGAGCCCCCATGACATACTATTCTGGAGGATCCCCAATGCTATAGAGCAGCTGTTTTATGGAGCTCATGAGATTACTGGGGTTAAGGAAAGGAGAATGTTACAGAATTACTTCCGACAACCTTCAGTGGAAGCAACCTGACTTATGTTTCAGTCCTGGACGTGAAAAGATCAGAAGTTTGAAAAGTAACGTTTTGAAGTATAATCATCAAAACCCCTCAATTTTAATTACTTCTTGAAGGTACTACCTAAAAGGAAATGTTTTTGCAAGCTCTGAGAAATGCAGGAAGGGGGTAAAATTGTGTGAAAAGATTAAGAAGCAAAGGACTTTATTAGTGTGTCTCAAAAAAAATAATACAAAAGGACAGGGAGAATATGGCACACATGCAGTTTAAAATAGAAATCAGTTATTCCTTTGGCACGTCCTTTCATTTGCACCTTCGTAACCATTAATAAAAACAAAGCAAAGAAGAATCACAGCATTCAAACTTACTTTTTGAAAATATCATAACTTGTTTTAAAATGGAAAGGAAACTCTCTTCTAGTTGCAATCAAGGTCAGAATCAAAGATGGGAAAATAATATTTCTGACATGATGTCTTCTCTTAGATTGCATGACTGCAGGAGAGGAACAGGTGTCTAAGTTTGCGAATGTTCAGGTATTTCAGTAAAATAGGCAAAGGGGGCAACTTAAAGCCACTGGTATATGAATCATGGAGAAAGACCTCCAAGTAGTCGACCTAGTTGAATATTTACGACTACCTAAAACTAGGAAAGAAGTGATTTGCTGATGGCGGTGCTGGGACTGGCTAAGCAAACCATGTGGGGCTGCGTCGGCTTCGGTGATGGCAGCAGTTTCAAGTGTGGGGAGAAAGGGGGTTGAACCCATGTGAAAGGAATAATGGGGCAGGGAGGCAGGTGCAATCAAGTATTTGGTGTTGGTGGAGAACATTAGCAAAAAGTGCACATTCGTAGAAGCCAGGGAGCCACTGTGCATTAATCACTAAAAATAAATCCACAATTTTTATTAATTTGCTTCAGATGTTCCACACACAGAGAGAAGAGCAATAAATCACATAGTGCTCAAAGTATTTCAAATCACAATGAAGTGTAACAAGGGAAACATTTTTTCATATGGCAGCACTGGAATAGATTGAGATGAGATGGGGATGTTCAACAATCATAAGCACTGTAGCATCACAATCTTTTTGACAAAACACATATGCCAGAATAAAAATAGCCATAGTTTCATAAAACATTGATCGACATCCACAACATGCAGCGTGCACAGTTAATGATTAAAGCAATTGTGTTGCCTTAACATTTTGTCATGGAATGAGCATGTCTATATATCTAAATATTATAGATATATAGATTTTATAGATATATATATGAGAGAATGATAGGGGCTGACATATGAAGTAACAATCCACACTATTTTTGTATTTTATTAAACCTTTCAATAATCAGTTTTTGAACTGACCACTGATGGAGGCACAACATGAGGAGGCATGTCTTAATTTCTTGATTATACGTAATTAATTCCCTTAGAAAAGACAGGTAGCAATGTTATTTCACCCCAGAAGGTCCTGCCACTTTGTAGTTCATATCAAAAATAGAATAAATGTTTACATACACTCATATCTGAAAACTAATATCAGAAATTGGAAAGTGGCAAGAACAAAGTTATAATTTTTCTGGTGAATGCTGATTTCACAGTGTATTCACTGTTCTGATATCTTGCTTAGGGCTGCATTGTTATTTCAAAACAGTCCTGTATTTTGACAATACAGTGTGAGGAATAGTGAAGTGAGAATATGAAACAGTATATTGCATCAATGTAAATGAAGGCAGGCAATGGTGAAAATGAATAGCTCAAAAGTGTGAGAGAGAAAAGGACAGATACCTACCCCAACCTGCGCTATCTAGCTATCGCCCTGCGGACTTACAGTATCACCAATGGTCTCGCCAAATGGATCACTGTTGGATGAGGCCTGAGATCCATCAGGCTAGAATACAAGAACATAACACCTTTTTTTTCTCAACAACAGAAATAAAAGCAAAATCAGAAGTTATTTTCATGCTATGGATGCATTTCATCATGGATGCTTACTGCAGATGAAAACAGAAAGGTGGGACAAATATCATATTGCCCCTCACAAAAGTGCTTTTAGAATGTAAAATTTCATGGATTTGAGAATGGACTACTGGATGAATCCTGGGACAGCCATTTTCTATCCCACCTCTGTCCTCTAGGAATAGGGTTGTGATGCAGAACTGGCCTCCATTGCTACACCAGCAATGGGGCAAGACTAGTTGCACTAGAAGAAAATCCCTAAAATGCATGGCAACCTCATAGTCAAGGTATCCCCTTTGTCAACTTTTTAGTATTTATCTACTTGTTCATTGCTGATTATCCTACTATTCGGGGATACTTTTCCCCTGGTCTACATCATGACACATGCAACTACTGAGGGCCCAACACTATTTTGTTTTGGAGTGTTGCCAACAGTATGTGACATTATAATACAGATGAATGACTTGTGTGTGGCTTCTGTTTTATACCTGGCTGCCAAGTAGTCCCTGTTTGTGGTGAGCCATTTATGTAAAGCATTTGTCATGCCTACTTGCTATTTTTGTGAAGCCACTTGCGTGATGCAGTTGTTGTGGCCAGTATCTGTATTGCCACACAGATAGTAGCCATAACATACATGTATTCCAGCCAAATATGAGGTTGCAGAAATGTGTGGAGCACTCTGGATCTGTGAATGAGACCCAACAATAAGCACACGTCATATGGTCATGAGAACCCTGGAACTAACTTGCCACACAACTTGAAATGATTCTGCTGTTTCCTTTGTCAGTGAGGCAGACAGGAAGCCAGGCTGCTGCCATAGTTTTCTTCAGTTCTGTTATTCAGCTTATCAAACTGACTCCACAGCACTACATTTCTTCAACCACCCCAAGCCAGCACTCTTGTAGGTGTTGCTGTTATGACACTGATCAGTATATGAATATCTTTTCATGGCACTCCATCTGATGATGCTTAAGATTTGCTTGTAAACATTGTAAATGTAAGCTGAGAGAGGTACTGGGGGAGGAGCCAACAAGAGTAATATGTCAGTTCCTCCACGCCCTCCACTCCTCTGTCTTATGTTGAAAACTGTTTGAGTATTGACAATGCCCTGTCAGACGGCAAGAAAGTCTCTCAGTGGAAACAAGGTACTCATCTTCTCTGCCCTTTCCTCTCCCTTTGTGTTACTGCATAATGGCTTGTCTTAGAGAAAGAAGAGAGAGTAACAGGCACAAAGGATTTCTCACTGCCATGCATGAATCCCACAGCTTTCCTGCAGTGCTTTCTTTCTTTTTTCTTTTTAGCTTAAGGTAAGGGAACTGGTGGCAGGGAGGCCTGGCTAGTGCCATGGCTTCAGATGTGAAGAGGGCTTAGAAGGGTGCAGTATGTCACTCATGGGACTTAAGAATTTGGGACAATGGGTCCCTTCTAGCCCTCTGATTGCTAACAGCCCTCCAGGGATCCAGACAAGATATTTCCTAGCTCTACCTAGAGATCTCTGGCATTCTCAGGTAGACCCTCTAATAAGAACCATTCAGGTTCTGAAACCTGATGAGATCAGGTGTATTCAGGTGGTATCATAACAAAAAATATGGCCAGATTCTTGAAATTTATATACCTGCGCAGGTATTTGAGCTGAAGGATTGCATTTTGAGCTCTCAGTCTCTATGCACACTATTTCACACCACTTCAAACCAACTGTGCATTTTCTGCCGCTAATGTCTTCCCAAAACTCTAAGGTAGAGCTACATATTTAAAGATGCTCCAATGTTATCATCATAACTCCTTTAAGTATCTCTCACTGTTCTGTTATTTGTAATCTACTTCGTAACTGCTCCTTCTGAATTCTGTCTTAAAGAGTTTTGGCAGGAGAAGACATTTAAGAGCAAATGGACCAAGAGGGAACAATTCAGTAAAAATTTGTAACAAGAATTGAAACTAAAATAAGTTATGTAAGCTGACATGTAGATACAAACTTTAATTAACCGGCACAGTATTTTAACTAACTTTAACATTCCAACATTACACACAAGAGTGGTGATAGAGAAACTGCTCTCTGTAATTTTACATCAGTTGTGAGCAGTAAAGAAGAAATACAAGGGTTTATGGTAGGGAGGACTAGGTTGTTTATCTTGCTTTCCATTTCATGAAATGGTGCTGCATGCTACTGAAGGAGAAAGGTGAGGATACAATAACTTTATATCTCAAGTCCGTCCTTCCGTCCTTACTTCCTTACTTCCGCACAAGCGCACTCCATTGTACAAGCAAGCCTTTTAAATCCCTGAAACCAATGTTAAGTATCAGAGGATTTGGAAACTCTCTTCTATATCAGGAACTGGGAACCTCTGTTCTATGAGCCAGATACAACCCACTAACATTTGGGCTACCAACAACAGCAACTGCTGTTGTCAATGACCTTTCAATGGAGATAAGATATATAAATGCAACTGAAATTTAAGAGCCAACATAGAACTGAGGTGTGATAACTTCTTAGTAGAAATCCTGCCCCTTCCATCTTTGCTTTGGCTTGGCTTCATTCATTCCATCCTTGGCCCCATTCTTTGTCCTTTGCTCCAGCCACTGCTGGAATATGTTCTAGAACTAGAATTTGTCCCAGAAAGACTATCCACTCTTGCCCTTTACCTCTTGCAAACTGGTGCTGTTAAAACTGCTTTTAAACTGATGTACAGAATTTTTTTCTGTAGTTCTAAACTTTTATCTCATGAGACTTTCCTTTGGAATATGTGTACTGTGTTAATGCTAATGCTGAAATGAAAAACGAGGACATCACATCGTTGCGCCAGTGATGAGGTCATGATTGAGAGTGGTGCCCTTACCGCTTCCTGTTCTTCGCTTTTGCTTGGACTCTCAAAGCCCTCTTCAAATAGGTCGTCTGCAGCAGGATCACTGGTATGAGATGCTGAGGATTTAGATGGAGAACTTTGTCTAGGAGCAGGAGTTGGAGCTAAAGAAAGATAACAGTAAGAATCTGCCTTAGTGGAGTTGTTGAAATCTACATATCAAATGAGAACCTATTTTAGGTGCAATGTGGGTAGGCCGTGAGGCTGATACCACTTTGTGAAAACGTATCCCCCTCCCCCACTGACCCCAAGAGATGAACGGCATGGAGGTTTGGCAAGTTGACCCTAGTTAAAATTCCTCTTAGCATCATGTCTGGGAACCCTTCAGCTTGATAAGTTTTAGGAGAGGCAGCTGTGTTAGTCTGTGCTAACGTATCAGGCAAAGACACAAGAAAAATAATGGGAAAAAAACCAAGACAACAACATTGTGGCACTTTAAAGACTAACTGCTATATTTTAATGTGAGCTTTTGTGGATAGTCACTTGCTCAGACATAAGAATGGAACTGCATGGCAAATATTTGTACATTGTCCCAAACCAGACACCGTTTTTTGGGCACACGTTATTGACCTGGTAATGACCTTTAAGACCCCTGTTGATACTCAGTTCCCCTCCCCTCAGTATGACAATTCAAGGCCAATAAGATCCCACTCCGTTATTTTAACGATCTTTTGCAAAACTCATCAACCTCTTTATCATTTTATGAAAAGCACTTCAACAAAGAAAGACCCTGACTAGTTTTAATTTATGCTGCAGTGTTAATGTATTCATCTTTAAAACCTTTAAAATGCAACAAACAAATATGAATATATATGTATCTCTGAATGTAATCTTGACAATGTTCTATGGTTTGAAGACGATCTTTAAACATTGCTGCTGCTCTCTTAGACATTTCTTCAAACTACTGTGAAACAAATCAGGTCTAGCATTTGCAGTAGCATAGAACAATGATCGCAGAACTATCAGAAATATCCACTAAGCATAAGCTGCATCAGTGTGGTGATGACCTGGTACAAATAATCGTATCTGCTTGCATCGAACCCCTCTATGTGAACATATTATATACTGAAGTCTGCTAAATACTTTTCTCTTGACTGAAAATCCTCTCATAAGCAGTTTTTAATTTAGGGTTGATTCGCACAAAATGTTTTTGCAGCAATGTAATCACAATGATCAAGTAAGGCTAATAATTATTAATTCAAAATTAGAAAGCCACCATTGCATCAAGTGCAGGTTCCAATGGGAGGAGAAATCTTGCTGGATTTTTGAGTTTCCCTAAGCCATGAAAATAGTGAACAGAATTAACAGTTTTAGCAGCCCTGAAAGTCATTCATACAAACCAGTTTTTATGCCTATTTAAATTGACATTATACTGACTTTCAAACATTAAGTTCATTGAAATAATGTTAATAATTAATTATAAACTTACATGGACATTATGTATTTAGCTTTAATTTCACGTTTCCCCAACTTATGAGACACTTATTTATTTACTTTTAATGGTATACATGGATACTTTCAGTGGCTCCCTTTTAGACATAGGGAACAATCTGGTGGAAGGTTGCAGGAGAAAAAGCGGGGGGTACTTACGTGAATTCGTCGATGGTGTTGTAGAAGTCACAGGAGTCAAATTTAACTGAGAGATGTCAAAGTCATCACAATCATCTGCTTCCTGCGCCATCCCAACTTTGTTAAAGTAACTGGAGAAGGCCTCTGAGGTACAACTGAGGGAAGGCTGATCTGGTTTTCGTGATGGCACTGGCGGAGGCTGAGCCATCTGGAAATCTTTAAACATTTCTTTTCCTGCTTGCTGCCTAGGCCTATCTGTCTGTGGACTTGACCGGGTGGAACCGCTTGTAGGTGGAACAGTAGCAATGGGAGCAACGGTACCTTGAAACATGGCTGCTTGTAAAGGCAAAACAGTTTGTGTTGGCATGAAGGCAGCAGCAGGCGGAAACTGACCAGCTACAGATGGCCATGGTTGCTGGGTGGGAGAAAATATCCCTGGTTGTCCCCATGCAATTGACTGTCCTGCCTGCATCACCTGAGCAACTGGAGGCTGAGCACCCATGGCCAGTTGTTGTTGAACAAGTGGTTGTTGTCCCCAGAAGGAGGGCAGGACAGCTCCCATTGCAACATAACCTTCGGGGGGAAAGAGAGTGGGGACAATTTCAGAACAGGAAGAGCAAAAACAGGGCAGCCAAGGAAGAAAAGTTGATCAGATATATAAATCAGGAATCACAGGGTGTTGTTTTTTAAAAAAAATACTTTTCTTTATTGACCATATGCCTTAACAGCTCCCTTAAGAGTAGTACTGTTTGGATAGGCAAAATTTACAGAGGCACAGAGAGGTTGAGAAGGTATTCAACTCCATGCAAAGTTCCATGTTTCTTAAAGAGACTCTATTCTCTAGTAAAGAACTGGAAGATGATAACTGCTTCTCATCATGTTTTGTAGGTTCCAGCCCCTCAAACTCCACACTTTTGTTTCAGAGTGTTTAGTATGCTCACTCACTTACTCAATCTGGCACTGACTGGTACCACTTGTACTTTGCTCCCTGTATTTTTAGCTTGGCAAGCAGCTGTGTAAAGCACAGAAGCTTCTTTTATCTTGCATTTTCAGCTAGTTGGTTAACAAAGGGGACTGCTTTTACCTGGTCTGCATGCACCTTTCCTTTCTAAGTCATCTTTAACACATTCCTTACCTACAAACAACAAAGGGTATGTGTTTGTATGTGAGGATTTTGAATAATCCCATCCGCCTGAGGGACGATTTTATCACTGAAAGAACCATTTGTGTAGGCTTCTGCCATTCCTTCCTGATATATACCAGAGAGTAGCTCCTTCTTCCTTTGACTTGAGCAGCTGCAGTTATCACAAAAAAGCAGAAAAGATCTCCTTGCTTGGAAAAATGCCAATTATATATCCAAGACTTTGAATAACACTGGAAGCCTGTGACATTTTTCAGATGGTTGCAGGTGTTATGACACAGTAATCATTTCCCAAGGAGTACTGTTACAGTGTGAGAATACTGAAGAAGCTGAAATGCTGGATCTGTAATATATTCTCCTGGAAATTCAGAAGTGGCCCAGGGACTAAGGTTTTCTCCTTGCTTCCCATGCCATGGTAGTGAGAGCTGCGTTTGGTAGGTAAATAATGAAGGCAAAATGGGAGGAAAAGGAACAGTTAAGTGAGCTCTCTGAATCAAGCTCTGACGATGAAGGGGGCAGACTGAGTCACTGAGGCTGAGAGGCTTGTGGGATGGTTAAAGCTATGAAAGGCTTCTCCATCACCTCTGCTTAAAGTCATCATACCGCATTATATGGATACGTGATCTGATCAGAATGCCTTCAGCAAATCAAAGAAGAAGCCATGAGTGGGGAGGCAATTGTTCTGAAGCTTCTAGCCAGAGAACCTTGCACAAAAGTTTTATTCACTGGACCTTCTGCTCTAATATATCAGGTAACTGGGGACTACACTCCTGACTGGGAACTTATTAACTACAGTGGTGCCTCGCATTACGATCACTTCATTTAACGACAAAATCACATTATGACGAACTTTTTGCGATCGCTTTTATGATCGCAAAACGATGTTTCCTATGGGGGAATTTCGCTTTGCGATGATCGGTTCCCTGCTTCGGGAACTGATTCTTCACAAAACAACGATTTTCCAACAGCTGATCAGCGGATTCAAAATGGCCACCGGGTAAATAAAATGGCTCTCTGCTGTGTTTAGGGATGGATTCCTCGCAAGATAGGCAGCGAAAATGGCTGCCCTATGGAGGATCTTCGTTGGACGGTGAGTTTTAAGCCCATCGGAACACATTAAACAGGTTTTAATGCGCTTCTATGGGTTTTTTAATTTCGCTTTACGATGTTTTTGTTCTACAGCGATTTCACTGGAACGAATTAACATCGTAATGCAAGGCACCACTGTAGTATTAAAGTTGCATATCCAAGAGTCTACCTAATGAGGTATCTTTTCACAAATGCAGTTGTCTGAGTACAATTACAGTTTTATATCACTCTCTATTCTTTAGAGAACAAAAAAAATCCCCAATATCTAATCTGTTTCTGCTTTTTGTTAAAAAATCCATATAACTGGCATGACTAGATCTTGAGAACAGGAAACAGCAGCCACGTGTGTTTAGTCTTAGGTTTCATGAAGACAATAAAACTGAATGTTTGTGGTGAAGACCGCAATGTGTATTGTTTCTTTGTTTAGGTTTTGTTTTTCAAATTATAGCCAACAGATCCATTAGCTTGCAAAAACATTTTGTATGAAGGACTAGTTTCAATATTTTATAGACATCACTTGCGTTCTGTGCTTTCATCTAATTTACTTTTCATTCATCAAATACAACTGAGGGAAGTCTGATCATTAAGATGGATTCTCTCCCTCTCCCCAGTTTCAGATATAGCTAATTCAAATACTGCCCCCCATGACCAGTTGGCCAAATATGCTAACATAACATCAACCGTTTAAAATATCTTTCCCCTCTTTTTTAATGTATACCTTTCTAGATTTTGATCTTCTTTGCTCTAGGAAGATTAGATCATTTTTACTAATACAATTAGGTACATAAAAAGGTTAGTTATTCATACTATGAAACAATTTGTTTTCCAGTGGAAACACATGCTTTTCTAGCTTTACTTCCCAAGCCCAGCTTTTAGCTTGGAGTAGCCAAAAAAAAAGTAATTCAGATTTCTTGTATTAGTCCTCCAAAATTTTATCCCACTTCATATTAAAGGTGTTATAATGCCTGGCTTAAATGGCTTGGCATTAGGGAATCTGAAAGACCACTTCCTTTCACATGAACCTGAATTCATTGCCTGAAGTTACATGCTTTTCCTCCTAAAGAGGCAAGGTTGTTGAGGTCTTGTAACAGGATCTTCTTCATGGTAACATTCAAATTGTGTAACTTCACTCCCAGAAAGCTTAAAGTAGTTTGGCTCCTTTGTTACTATTTCCAGACAGCTGCTAAAGTGTAACTTGTACTACCAAGTTGTCACTGACTAATTCCTTCTGGCTGAATAGCTCAGTGAACTGAATACCTGGCAGATAAATTCAATTCTCCACTGTACCTCCTAGGAGAAAAGCCATCCTGTATAGCCTTGGGTAAACAACATAGTCCCAGAGCACCCACAGAAGAAGGGAGTGGTAAACCACTTCTGAGTATTCTATACCTGGAAAATGCTGAAATGGATTATCATAAGTCAAATTGACTTTCCGGCACATAATTAATTATTGGTTTTGAAAGATCTTGTTTCTTTGAAATGTGACATTTTTTGTATGTTTTGTCTTTATTTTTATTTTATTCCTTTTATGGTTTTATTGCAAATCACCTTGAACATTCAGTGAGTAAATAAATAATTTGCAAATACATTAAGTAAAATAAACTAATTCATAAATAAAAATAGGGGTAGTTAGTCTTGTGCATTACAAATAAATAAGAGTACAGTATGTTCTTTTTCTATTGGACTAGAAATTCATCCATAATCTGGTAAAAAAAGAGAAGAAAACAGGAAGTTCTTATTCCTATAAAGATAATCTTGCAAATATGCAGATGCAACCTACCATAATCTCAAAAGCCCTCTCATAATGGGCATGTTTCAGGACTCCTAGCAGTCAAGGGATAAATCTCTGAAAGCTTTTTAAGAAACCTAAATGTTTCCTTTATCCTCCCTGTTTCATAAAGCGACATATAATATATGCATCCATGTATTTATTTTACGCAAGTTATTCAGTTTCCAAAATTCTGTGTAGCTGAAAGCAGGAACTGGAAATCTGATGCAGACTACATACAGCTCTGCCTCATTTGCATTTAGCATTACAGTGAAATTCTGGTATTTGAAAACATTTTTTTAAAAAAGCACATGCACATGCATTTCCTTGCATGCATGGAAGCAACTGTTGCAGAATCAAAAAGAACCCACAGAGAGCAAGTGGGCAGGACCTGATGCTGACTTTCTGCCCCTAAAAGGTGCACTCCCCAGCAACTTCCACAAGTGGGAGCTATTGCAGGGAGTGAATAGAATCAGACTGTGCCACACCAGAGATTCTCCTCTTTGTGGGCCCTTTAAAAGAGCCAGCCTTAAGACCACTTGCCTGTTCCAGGCTGGCAGGCAGTGCAACACTCCCTTCCTTGCTCTTGGAGTGCCCTAATCATAAGACAGTCATCCTATGGATGGTGGGAAGAATTTTTTCCAGGCAGACCAGATAGATCTAGGGACCAGAATGGTTTTCAACTTCCCTGGGACACATACTCTGAAGTTTCTTAGGCCAAGTGAAATCAATTTTAAAGGAGTCACATACACTCAGCTGTTACGATGCCTTCATGTGTATGCTTGCACCTTGTGCTTCATCTCCCTTCAACTCTTCCACAATGTTTCTGTTAATGGAACCAGGTGGTGGAAATTCTCCTGAGTGCCCTCCACATCTGTGTGGATAGTTGGAAAGTGCCCCAGAGAGGCTTTGCAGTGGCACAGATGGGTGGAGGTCGGAGGGCAGTGAAGGGAAGTCGTCCCACATTACTAGACATCTACTAGCATATTAGATTTATGTCATGGTCTCTAAATATCCCAAGCTTCAAAAGAGAGTCAAAATGTTAAAACTAACATCACGCGTATTTTAGACCCTGAACACTGTATACCAGTCCTCTGATTTTTCTAGCTACTGAAACTTCAGGATAGTAAAAGAGAGAGAAACTACGCTGACCTTTAACATCAAAAAAATTGAGAAAGAGGTTTTCATGGTGCATTCTTATTAATACAAAAAAAGAGATCTCAGTGTTTCTCAACAAATGTGTGGCAAACAGATTATCAGCCAAATTCCTAATGGCTCTCCAAATACAGAAGTAGTTTCAGCTTTAAAAAAAGTATGCATAAAGCAATGTGAACAGCCTAACTTATCCTCTGCACTTACGAATTGGTACTTAGTTACTAATATTATAAACTGAACTGGATTTATTCTCCAAGGTTACAGGTACTCTGATATGTAGCAGAATAGAATTGTTTGTCCCCATTAAAGTCCGATAGGCCTAGATGGATTTTTCAAGTTCTCAGTTAAATAGCTTGATGTGGACAACTCACCTGAGGGTACAGCAGCAGTGCTGTAAGGTACAGAACTAAATACCTCTGCACCAGCAGGAAGTGATTGGGATGAAGATGGGATAAAGGCATCACCTGGAGTTGCAGGGGTCTGTAAAACAAGGCAAAATTAGAAAGTACTGATCTACATTAGTTGGCAATGTAGTCTTAGTCGCTGCTTTCGCTGCCAAGAACTGGCACCACATCCTCTTTCCTAATTAAAAGAGCTAGCATGAGAAACAGAGAAAGCATGGGGAGGATGATCTGTGGGGTAAGAAGAGAGAAGATGTAGATGTGAGAAAGCAGCAGGAGAAAGCAGCAGCAGCAAGAAAAAGGATGAGCAATTGTATAAGGAAAATCACACATAATTTGTAATGTATTCAGTGAATTGAAAGGGTTCTTTCCCCCAACTCCTAAAACATATGCAAATCATGACAGCACCTGTTTCTTCATAAAGGTCTAAGGTTGTGTAATTTTAATAGCTTCACAGGGGATCAGTGTAAGCAATTAGTGCTGAAAAAGTAGTCAGGTAATGAGCAATTTTACAGAGGGAAAAATTCATACTGTGTAATATGACTGCAAACCTTTCAGAAATTCTTTCCGCTTCAATATGGGGCATTGTTCTTCATGGATATCTACATGCATTATAGTGCTACAATAAGTCTGCTATGAACAGTGTATGAGAGGCAGAATGTTTAACAGCTGTACTTACAGGGGGAGAGGTTACATCAGGAGGAGTGGACATGTCCCCAAATAGCTCTAGTTGGGGAACAGCCTGCAAAGAATTCCAGAAAAGAGACACGTCAGATGTAGATCCTCTCTTATCCATGGGGCAACACAGAATACAACTGTATAATGGAAAATAAGTGCAACTTCTCAGAATATTTTTTAACTCAAAAGTACGTTATTCAGACCATGTCAACTATTTAAAACCTAGTTCTATGATGCAAACCTTATGGATCTGTCATTCTTAAAACTCTGCTAGCCTGAAAAAAAGAGGGGGGAGAGGGTAGGGTACACACACACAAAAAATGCTAGGATGTACCCTCAGAAAAACTGGGAAATGATGATATTACTGATAACTCCTTGCACAAAGATTGAGGCTCTGACTTCAAACACTGCAGTTACAACACAGGTTGCTTTCAAGTACAGTGGTGCCTCGCTTAACGAGCGCACCGTACAACGAAGAATCCATATAGCGATCCCTTTTTGGGGATCGCTATACGGAGCTGCCCCAATCGCCGCACTCGCTTTGCGACGATTGGGGCATC